GGAGAAGGAGGAGGGGAGGAGGAGGAGGAGGGGAGAAGGAGGAAGAGAAGGAGGAGGAGGAGGGGAGAAGGAGGAGGAGGAGGAGGAGGAAACAAGCACGTGCAGGGGAGACTGGAGGGGGCCCTGTCCGGCAGATGGAAGCTGAGCCCGCTCACCTCGCGCCTCTTGCCCTCGTTCTTGCTGTACTTGGAGAAGAGGCTGCTGAAGAAGTTGCCACAGCAACAAGCCACGTGCACCAGGGGCCCTTCCTTGCCGAGGCTCAGGCCCGAGGACACCACCAGCACCAGGGTGACGGTCTTGATCAGCAGGGTCCACTTGCCCAAGTAGCCCCTGATGATGAAGCCGCTCAGGATGGTCTTTATCTGCAACAGAGGACGGAGCGTGGGGAGGCGCGAGAGGTGTTGCTCGAGCCTGCCCCCTACATCACATGGGAGAGGCTGCTTTCGGGTTGATTTAGCTATGATTTCACATTAACAGCATTTATATTAACATATAATTTTAATGAGAAGAGATAAGCCAAAGATCCTATATACTTATAGACACAGCCCATGGACACAGGCAATAGGGTTGTAAAGACCTGGAGGAGGGGGGAAGGGGGGGAATGGGAGATATTATAATATATTAACAATAAGAAATACATTATAAAAAGAAAAAAGAAATAAATCGTTGAAAAAATTAAAAAACATAATTTTATATTATATTCATGGAAATGTAAAACAGTGCAATTTATAGTAAATTTTAATTATTCTTAGAGTAGTAAGATCATAATGAGGGCCGAATAAGTAATTACCAGGGTTTCGTTTTATTTGTGGCACTTTATCCTGTTCACATTACCCTCTGTTGTGTTGAAAAGAGACATGTAGCTATTGATTTTAACTGTTAATTTTTCACTATTGAAAGACCTTGTCCTAGCCGGTTTGGGTCAGTGGATAGAGCATCAGCCTGTGGACCAAAGGGTCCTGGGTTCCATTCCGGTCAAGGGCATGTACCTGGGTTGCGGGCTCCTCCCCGGCCTGGGCCCTGGTCAGGGCTCGAGCAGGAGACAACCAGTCGATGTGTTTCTCTCACATCCATGTTTCTCTCTGTCTCTCCCTCTCCCTTCCACTCTCCCTAAAATCAATGGAAAAATATCCTCGGGTGAGGATTAACAAATAATAATAAAAGGCATCATGTCACCTTTTCCAATTCAGGGAGGGTCATGAAGTGAGCCAATCCTCGACATTTTAAAGGGGTGTGAATGGACCATTTTCATCTCAGAATTATTGATGGAGAAAGATCATGAGCAAGTGTGCAGGCACGCATGTGTGTGAGGAACTCAGGCACCGCTTCCCAGAGAACGCGAGGAAGGTCTTTTAGCTGCACAAACAGGTAGTATTTCTTGCACTACCCTCTAACTAATGTCAGACAAACTAGTGGTGGTTAAACCGGCCTTTAACTAGTCGTACTTGGCCTACTGAGCCTGCGCGCTGGGCATCTCAGATCCATTTATTTGAGGGATGTTTTATTATGCCTGCCACAGTCCTGTACTTTTGTGCTGCCTTGAATAAAATTATCTCTAATTCTTTGTCAGTTACATAATGTGGACTTGGACCCGAGGGTAGAGTTTAAGAGCATCATGCCATTTAGAAAATTACAAACATCTCAATTACCTGAGCCTCCGCCAGCCGTGACACGTGGTGAATTGAACAATGTAATAGGTATTTTGTAATTCTCTAAAATGATTTTATAAAATTGTCATGATCAAATTAGGGACTAAAGAAAGCGAACCCGTTCCCAGTATATGCTACAATCCAATCACTTGCTTTCATCTGAATGAACAGAGACCAAATCAAGCAGGACTCTCACGAGATGAACTGGAGCGGATTTGTGACTCAGTGGGGTTAAGTTTAAATCCTTTCTAGTAAAGAAAGATCCGTGAAAGAGAGTGTTCAGGTTTTATAATGAAACACCAACTCGGGGACATGATGTCTTACATAGTCAATAGCGGTTCTGATAATGAAGCAAACAGAATAGAAAGAGCCCCCCCCACCCCCCGCCCAGTTCTCTCTAAATCCCCAAGTCCAAGAGCAAATGTTCACATGTAAATGTGCTCTGGAGAGCTTAGACAAGCACATTTCTTACACAGAAAAGTGTTCTCTAAATTTGCATTTAAAAAGGTTTCCAGCTGGGCCGGCGTGGCTCAGTGGTTGAGCGTCAACCTAAGAACCAGGAGGTCGCTGGTTTGATTCCTGATCAAGAGCACATGCCCAGGCTCCATTCCCAGTAGGGGGCGTGCAGGAGGCAGCCGATCCATGATTCTCTCTCATCATGGATGTTTCTATCCCCTCTCCCTTTCTCTCTGAAATCAATAAAAACATATTTGATTTAAAAGTCAGCGTGGCCCTAGCTGGTGTGGCTCAGTGGATAGAGCGTCGGCCTGCGGACTGAAGGGTCCGAGGTTTGATTCCGGTCAAGGACACATGCCCTGGTTGTGGGCTCGATCCCCAGTAGGGGGCGTGCAGGAGGCAGCCGATCCATGATTCTCTCTCATCATGGATGTTTCTATCCCCTCTCCCTTTCTCTCTGAAATCAATAAAAATATATATATATTTTTTAAAGTCAGCATGACATAGGGTTTTTTTTTTTCTGTCGTTCCTGGTACAAGGCATGTCAAGCTTTCCTCTCGACCACCTTTTACTGACTCTGGCCCTTTGCATGGACCGCCTGGGCCCGGGCAGTGTTGCGGCAGCAGAGAAGGGTGTGGGTGCAGGGAGCAGGGAGCAGGGCGCAGGGCCCAGCGTGTGTCGCCTGTCTGTCGCCATAATCGCTCACATCTTGAAACTCGCCATCTCCACTGCCTCGGAGCACGGATGAAGCCCTGACCCGAAAGAGAACTGCACTGCTCTGCTTGGATTCCTGGCTAAAGTGTTCACTCTCCGGGCTTTTCGGGAATTAGCTCCATTATTGTTATTCCGCCCAGTAGGCCGTGCTGGTTTGAAGTCTAGTCTCAGGCGTCCCTCTGGCGGCTGAGGTCACTCCGCTCAGGCTTCGGCTGCATGAAAGTGCTGCAAACGCTAGAACTCTGACTCCCAGGGCGCGCTCACAGCGCAGGCCCTTTTGTGGAATTCAGTTTTGTGAAAACTGCAATGACCTTGTCACCACAAGAGCAAATGGTGGCAAGGGAGTTTACTCAGCAGCAAACCTTCTGCGCAACAAGCCTCCACTATCGTCCACTTCCACGTCACATCCCCCTGCAGTGCCACACGCACATGTGCGGCGAATGCAGCTGCTCCCACGGGCTTTGAGGGTTATGCATGCTTTGCAAACACAAGACTTCAAGCATCTGAGAAGCAATGGCGCATGAATCCTGAGTACAGAGCATAAATCCTGAGTTCAACTGCCAGCTTGCCGGCTGAGTGACCTAGGACCGTGGTCGGCAAACCGTGGCTCGAGAGCCACATGCGGCTCTTTGGCCCCGTGAGTGTGGCTCTTCCACAAAATACCACGTGCGGGCGCGCACGTACAGTGCTATTGAAACTTCATGGCCCATGGGCAGGAGCCAGTATTTTGTGGAAGAGCCACGCTCAAGGGGCCAAAGAGCCGCATGTGGCTCTCGAGCCGCGGTTTGCCGAGCCACAGTTTGCCGACCACTGGTCTAGGACAAGTTACTGAACCTCTCTGTGCTTCAGTTCCTCATGTGTTAAATGAAGAGTAACAGGACCTACCTCACAGGACGGTTGTGGGGACTAAATGAGTTAATACATGTCAAACGCTTGGAACTGTGCTTGGCCAAGTGCTCCGGAAGTGTTTGCTGTTCCCTTGATCGGCACAGAGGAAATCCGGCCCCTACTCACCTCGGGGATACCTGAGCCACAGGCGTAGGGCGCAAACACACGCACCAGGGAGACGGCCAAGAACGCAAAGAGCAAGGCCCACAGGACGTACAGCAGGTAGTTCAGGATGTAGGCGCTGGCACCCTGAACAAGACACAAAACAGGAAGGAACCGGTGAGCCAGGCCAACCCGAGGGTCCCACCCTCCGCTGTGACAGCAGCAGCGGGTCCTGTGTCAGCGAAAAGGCAGCGCTGCTTGGATCGGCTGCTGCTACTGCTACTCGACACCCACAGACACTGCTGGCTGCTCCACGAGCAGTTTCCACAGACCTGTGACCGGTGAAAGCTCAGTGACCATGGAAACTGGGAATGAGCCCGGCCAGTGTGGCTCAGTGGTTGAGCATCGTCCCATGCACCAAAAGGTCACCGGTTTGATTCCCGATCAGGGCACATGCCCAGTTGGGGGCTTAATCCCCAGTGTGGGGTGTGCAGGAGGCAACCAATCAATGATTCTCTCTCATCATTGATGTTTCTCTCTCTCTCTCCCTCTCCCTTCCTCTCTGAAATCGATAAAAATATATTTTTTAAAAAACCAAAACAAAACACATGTATCTAAGGGGACCTTTGACTTAAGAGGGTTTTTTTGTGTGGGTTTTTTTAATGTATTTTATTGATTTCAGAGAGGAAGGGAGAGGGAGAGAGAGAAACATCAATGATGAGACAGAATCATGGATCGGCTGCCTCCTGCATGCCCCCTACTAGGGATCGAGCCTGCAACCCAGGCCTGTGCCCTGGACCAGAATCAATCCTGGGACCCTTCAGTCCACAGGCCAATGCTCTATCCACTGAGCCAAGCCAGCCAGGGCCCAAACTAAGATTTTTACCCAGATCTGAACCTCTAGGGCCATGAGGGCAAGCGCCCAGTCTGTGTTCACCACCCCACCCCGTCTGGATGTTCCCAGCACAGAACACACAGAAACCTCCTACGCGACGTGATCTTAAAACGCATTGGAAGATGGTAACTTGCACCACAGTGGGATTCCCCCCATGCCTGCTAGGACGGCTGGAATCAAAAACAGGTAATAACAAGTGTTGGTGAGGATGTGGACAAACCGGAACCCTCCTGCACTGCTGGCGGGGCTGTGACATGGAGCGATCTCTTTGGAAAACAGTCTGGCAGTTCCTCAAATGGCCAAACACGGACTTGCCATATGACCCAGCGATCTCTTAGGTATGTACCCAAGAGGAATGGAAACTTATCCACACAAAAACGCGTACACAAATGTCCAAAACAAACTCATCCACAATAGAGCGAGAGTGGAAGCGAGCCCTGTTCATCAGCGGGTGAGGGCTAAATAAACAGTGGTCTGCCCATACACCGGAATGTTATTAAGCCATAAAAAGGCTGGAGTACCAAGGCCACTTGTGTGCTTTTTAGAGATAACATCTTGTCCCTTCATTAGGAGGTATCAAAATCAGTGTTATTTCTTCAGCAAACTACTCTCGGTAAGTAAAATAAAGCCAAGCACAAGATTTCTAAAAATATATACATGTTGCCTGGCGGGTGTGGGTCAATTGATTGAACGCTGACTCAGGCACCAGGAGGTCACGGTTTGATTCCCCATCAGGGCACATGCCCGGGTTGCAGGCTTGATCCCCAGTGCGGGGCGTGCAGGAGGCAGCCAATGGATGTTTCTCTCACACATCAATGTTTCTCTCTCTCTCTCTCTCTCTCTCTCTCTCCCTAAAAAACAATAAAAACATATTTAAAAACCATTCTAAAACATACACGTCTTGTGCACATGAAACCGTGGGGGAGGGTTTTTCCACTGACGTTTGAAACTAGAGCTAGAACAACCAAGTCGTGCTGGTGCGAAGCCCGGATTAGCAGACACTCAAAGCTGACACCACGGACAGTCCCACCACGCCGAGCGGTGGCCCCCAGCCCCGCTGAGTGGCGGGCACCCCCAGGCAGGACCCGGCCCGGAAACCCACCTCCGAGCGATTGACCAGCAGCTCCGACCACTTCTGCCACAGCGGGCACTTGTCCCTGTCCTCAAACGTGGTCTCGGAGGAGGTCCAGCAGCACTGCTCGTGGCTGTACCAGAAGGCGGACAAGCAGATGCCCTCCTTCAGGTCCGTCATCCAGTCCACGGCCAGGTCGATGACCCCGGCCAAGGTGCCTGGAAGAGACAGCGAGAGGCTCTTAGAGGAATCGCCCCTGGGGACAAAGTGGAGACACAGAGCACAGGGCCACGCAGAGGCAGTCCCCTGAGCACTGGGGACGCGGGAAGGCAAGCCCAGCCCAAGGACACACAGGCCATGGTCTGGGTCCTCATGCCAGACAGAGGCCCGCACGTCTTCACCCAGCTCGAGCCGGGGCCCAGCAGCTTGCTGAGCCCAGCCCTTCCAGGTTCCAGAAACAAGGTGCACCCTCTCAGGAAGCACTGCCTCCCCCACCCGGCAATCTCCTCTTTATCTTCCAGATCCCGGCACTTCCGTCACCTCCTGCAGGAAGGCTTTCCTGATTTCCTAAGTTTGGGCTCAGCATGCTTCCCGGGCATTTACCCATCAGCATGCCTGTCACATTCTAATACCATGAGGTGATAGACATGATACCTATATAATACATATGTTATCCCGATTGTATCTGTAGAGCAGGTCCCAGTGGTGTAAACGCTTTGGAAAATAGTCTGAAGTTGCTCACCAGGTTAAACAGTTACCATCCTTCCAAGCAATTCCAAACCCTGAACACTTCCTGCTGAGTAAAAGGTGATCACAGCACCCTACATGTTGTATGATTCCATGTCCATGTAACGGCCAGAGCGGGCAGAGAGAGACGGGCCGGGAGGAGGCTGCGGGCCCTGGAGCTTGACAGCTAAAGGACATGGAGGGTCTCTGGGTGCCGATGAAAATGTTCTAAAATTGACTGTGGCGATGGCTGCACAACTCCGTGAGGACACTAAAAACCACCGGATTATATACTTTAACTGGGTAGATTGTATGGTATGTAAATTATACCACAATAAGGCTGTTACATGTGTACATATACACACACACATACATACAGCGAGTGGACGTGATGCAGCTCAGAGAGGGAGAAGTGGACTTTTAGAAAAGGTGCCTGCTAGGACGGCTAGAATTCTGGTGCCCTGAACACCTCAAGCGAAAGATAACGTTTGAACAAAGACCTAAAGAAGGTGAGTGTAAAAAAAAATAAATGGAAAGTGAGGGAGGGCTCCTGCAGATAACCAGGGGTGAGACCCAATGATCACCCCAAATCCCGCCACCATTCACTCATTCATAATCATATTATCCCACACCCAATCTTCCTGGCTGACTGCTTCTCACAGTGCTGGCAGTTCCAGCTTCCTTCTATGAATGGAGTATCTGTGACACCCAGTGGCGATTCCCCATAAATGTTTTGTGAATGTTTTGTTCCGTGGAGCAACAGTGACACCCAGTGGTGATTTGTAATAAATGGTTTGTGAATGTTTCGTTCCGTGGAGCAACAGTGACATCTGGTGGTGATTTATAGTAAATGCAGCGTTAATGTTTTCTTGATATTTCCATTTGTGATACAACAACGACATCTACTGATGAATTCTTATAACTGCACGGCAGAGGAGACCCTGGACCTCTGCATCTCAGGAGTCAGAATGTAATGTCCAGGATGCCACTAAGGAGATGACAGGCCAGGCAGTGGGACATCTGAGTCCTCTCCACCAGCTGGACAACAGGGAGGTGAATGGGACACAGTCTCCTGGCTTTCCTTCCAAGGTACATCCAGATCAAAAGAGCACTTCAGCGCTGGCAGTATCAGCTCATTCTTACCTTCCTCCCCTATTCACTTGTTGACATGACCAGGGGCTCCCCCTTCTCCTGTGGCTCTCACCCTGGCTGCACGTTGGTATCACAGGAGGGACAGGAGGAAGTGGAGGGGGTCTTTGCTCAATGCTAGGACATCATCTCCAAATACACTATCTGATTGAAGCCCAAGCAGCAGTATTTTTTTTTTTAATTCCCCAAGTGATTCTCCTTAAAAGAACTGGCGGAAATCGGATAGTGAAGCCAACTGGTCAATATCGGGTTAAAGACAGCCCGATCACAGCCTGATCAGGCTCTCAAATTAATCAATACATCTAACCTGCGCGGTGTACTCCAAGATGCCAGAACGTCTCTTCTGCATTTCTTTATTTCTCTATTCATTTCTCCTTCCTAGGAGCCGAGGGTAATGACACCGTGAATGGTTTTAAAAATCTGTTCTAAACAAAGACATCAAAATTCACAGCCAGCTCCCTCCCCGTCTACCGTCAAAGGTCTTCATAGAAGCAGTCAAACAAATGGGTGGCGATGCACCCTATATCCACAAGCTCAAGTTCACTGGGCATGCCAGTGGGAGACAGGGATCGACTGGGAGAAATGGGTGAACAGCTGCTGTGACTACAAGGAAAGGAGTCCCCCCTGAGCACTCCCCTTGGTTCTTTGTGACAGGCCAAGCCAGTGGAGCCCCTCCCACAGTTGTCTAGGGAACAAATCCAACTGAAATCCTCAGGAATCCCAAATCTCCATCTGCGCCCCGCAGTGTTCTGTCTTTCTCACAGCATCTGCTGTATCCCGCCCACATTACAGTCCCTGTCCGGTCAGTGCTATACCCATAGCTCTATGCTATGATGGGCAGGGGGTGTATTGAGGGGGTCTCCTCAGCTCGCCCAGGCTCTTTATCCCAGACATGACCGCGCACAGCCTCCTGAAAGGGAGGAGTGGCAGGAAACAGCGTCCCTGGAGCGCTGCGCCCTGGATATTGAGTGTGGGTTTCTCCTCCACAGAGTCCGCCGCTCGCTCTGGACACCGGTGCTGGGGCTATAAAATGACGGACGCAGAGGCCCTGAGGGTCTGAACAGAGTACGGGCAGGGGGTAGCTCCAGCTAGCTCCTGGGGTGTCTAACTTTTTTATAAAGGAAATGGAGCCTTTTGTTAGAGGCCAGTTTAATATGTTTTTGTTGACTTTTAGAGAGAGAGGAAGGGGGAGGGAGGGAGAGAGAGAAAGATTGATGAGAGAGAACATCATCAGATCGGCTGCCTCCTGGGGATGGAGCCCACAACCCAGGCACAGGCCCTGACTGGGAATCGAACCGCGATCTCTCGGTTCCTGGTTCGGCGCTCAACCACTGAGCCACACCGGCTGGACGCGTGTCGCACATTATTTTGAGTGTCTTGGGGTGTTTGCAATTCATCCCAGGGCCTCCCAGTATTAGCAAGGGCCAGTGTCACGTGGTGCTTTATTATTAGAGACCAAAACCTCTCCACACTTTTTTGCCTTCTTCCTAAGCAAGCAGCACAGAATGTAGAGTGTGTGTTTTCATACAAGCCAGTGGCCACACGCCTGCGGACTGCACAGAGCTGGCCGGCGCCCCAATCACAGCTCTGCCATGCCCACACCGGAGCCCCGCCCTCGGGTCTCGCCTGACGGATGACAGCCTTTACGTGTCCTGTATGCTCGTCTATCTCACTCTCGGATGGTTCGAGCACGGATTGCCCCGCATGGGATACAAGGGAAACGCTCTGTTTTCAGAACGCCCGCGCCCGCCTCCGCCCGGGTGCCCGTCCACGTACCCGCCAGCAGCCCGATGAGCAGCATGACCACCCATCCCGACCAGGCGTCCAGCAGGCCCTTGATGAACTCCCACACGGACTCCTTGCTCCTGCTGGTGATCTGCAAACAAGACACGCGGTCAATCCGGCACCGGCTCCAGTCCGCGCTTCCTCCCCTGCAACCTCCCTCAGGGGACCATGTAACTAAGCGCTGATTTCCCACTCCCGGTGCTCCTCCGGCTCCCTGCCACACGACGGAGTGGGCTTTCTGCTTCAAAAACCCATTTAGCCCAGCCGGCCTGGCTCAGGGGTTGAGCATCAACCTAGGAACCAGGAGCTCACGGTTCGATTCCTGGTCAGAGCACATGCCCGGGTGGCGGGTTCGATCCCCAGTAGGGGGCGTGCAGGAGGCAGCCGATCCATGACTCTCATCGTTGATGTTTGTCTCTCTCCCTCTCCCTTCCTCTCTGAAGTCAATAAAAATATATTTTTTAAAATCCACTTGATTAAACAAACTCACTAAGTGCGATTTGAGCTCTGATGATTCGCAAGCCATTCTGAAGGGAGACGTGGAGTCAGCGCCATTGCGGGCCATGAGGTGGCATCTGGCTGTCACTCCTCACCTGCTCTGAAGCCACTGTCCCTGGGACCGATGGCAGCCCACACACAGTAGGTCCGCCTCCGTGGAGGGAGATCTGGCTGCGGCCCGTCCTCACCACCAGGCCCTCCTCTCACTGTGACCACTTGGCTGGTTCCCCTCCTTCACCTCTACCTGCTTCTTCTAAGTGTCTGGCACTGGCTCCCACCTCCCCACCCCCTACTGTTCCCCCAAATGGCCCTGCCTGGCTCCTGGCTGCCTCCTGCCTCCTCCCTCAACAGAGCCAGGCCCCTGGGCCTCCCGCCCAAAGCACCTGGTGTTTTTCTTAATATATTTTATTGATTTCAGAGAGGAAGGGAGAGGGAGAGAGAGGGAAACATCAATGATGAGAATCATGGATCGGCTGCCTCCTGCATGCCCCCTACTGGGGATCGAACCTGCAACCTGGGCATGTGTCCTGACCGGGAATCGAACCGTGACCTCCTGGTTCATAGGTTGATGCTCAACCACTGAGCCACACGGGCCGAGCGAGCACCTGGTATTCTAGTGACCTGTCCACAGCTCTGCCTCTCCCACAGCCTTCCCTTCCTCAGAGCCCAGCCCACCCAGGACACGTGGACGTGGGCCTGAGCTCGCTCTCTGTGCGAGGGAAGCACAGCCTGGCCATGTGAGGGAGTCCCCTCCAACATGTCGGTCATGACGCCACCTACCTTTCTGTGCCTGTCGGTGTCCCGCGACTTCTCCCTCAGCCAGTCGATGGTGTGGAAGTCCTCGTACGTCCCCACGTCAGGGAATGGCTCATCCAGAAAATCCATGAGGTTGCCGGAGCCGCTCATCGCTCCTGCACGTGACCATGCTACTCACACCTGGGGGTGGAGAGACCAGTTAAAACGCGGGCAGGCGGCCTGCATACACCCGGCACCACCCGCTCACACTACTTTCTAATATAGGAAAGTACCCCGCTAGCATCTGCTGCGATGATGTATCTATAAGCAGGCGCACACCGTCTGTCTCAGTCAACAGCAGCTGCTATAACAAACGTACCCTGGACTGGGTGGCTTCTGAGAAATAAATGTTTTCCTCTCAGTTCTGGAAACCAGGAAATCCACTCACAACCGAGTCACTGTCACCAAACCGCTCAGTGGTTCTCGTGGGAGCTGAAGTAGACCACTGGGCGGGCAGCCTACGCGGCCGTCACCCTGGACACCCAAGATGCGCAGCGACGGGAGAGTAGAAGTGCTGGCGACACCTGAACTAGCTGTGGGAGCGTGGTAACGGGCAGAGGGCACTGGCCCTCCCCACTAGGGGCTGGCCTGGGGGTGGACAAGGAGACGAATGACAGGACCACCTGGCCCACGAGCCATGCTCTGGTCTTGATGTCTGTGTCCCCCCCACCTGCAAAAATTCACAGGCTGAAACCCTAACCCCCGATGTGAGGGAGTTAGGAAGAGGGCCTCTGGGAGGTGGTGAGGACACAGCCAGAGGCCTGGGACTGGGAAGAGGGTCCCCACCGGACCAGCTGGCACCTTGACCTCAGACCGTGGGAAAGAAATGTCTGGGCTTTTTAAAATATTTGTATTGGTTTCAGAGAGGAAGGGAGAGGGAGAGATAGAAACCTCAATGATGAGAGAGAATCATGGACTGGCTGCCTCCTGCACGCCCCCTACTGGGGATCGAGCTCACAACCCGGGCACATGCCCTTGACCGGGAATCACACCTTGACACAGGCCAGGCTGGGGTATTTCCTTACGGCAGCCTGAACAGACAGACGAAGACAAGCCAAGTGCCACGCAGGCGGGCGGCCCGCTGCCCTGGGCAAGCAGCTCGGGGTGCAGGTGCTCACGCTGAATTTTCCTTAAAATACAGGCGAAGGGGCTGTGCTGCCTGGGGGTAGCCCAGTGGACGGCTCCCTCCTTCCTGGGGACCAGGCCCAGCCAGGCTCTCCCGCTCCCCTCCTCGGAAAAAAACTACAAACAAACCAAGATGCTGCATCCACACTGCACGGCACCGGCAGGCCTGCTGCAGGCCCAGGGGCTCCCGGGGACCAGACTGGGCCTGGCGGCGGGGTGGGGTGGGGTGCACCCCCACCCTCAGCAGCACTGCGCGCTCACAGACATGGGCTGGGTCCGGCACAGAGTGAAAAGCACATGATCTCACTCATTTATGGATAATGCTGCAGTTTGACAATCAGTTTGAGGCAGCTCTGCCTTTGTATCTATTATTGTTCAAAAGTTTATAATGGTCTTTATTATCCAGGGGAGGAGGGGGGGGGTAAGAGATCAACCGAAGGACTTGTATGCATGCATATAAGCATAACCAATGGACATAGACACTGGGGGTAGGGGAGGCCGGGGGAAGGTCAAATTACTATTGGTAATACTTTAAACAATAAAATTAAATTAAAAGAAAAAGAAAAGCACTTTGGCGAGGAGCATGGACATTTGAATGACGGGACGCGAACCACAGAAGTGCTGGGTGAGAGCGGAGGGCAGCTATGAAAATATTCTATTCGGCCCCTCCCGCTGCTTCATGTATTTGTCTGCACAGAGGGCTCCGCCGCCACCCGGTGAAACTGCATTTGAATCAAATCGGAGCAAAGCGGGGAAACCGCCTGACAAGCAATCAAGTGGCCGCAGCGACTGATGTATTGACCCGCCGCGCGGCTCGTCCGCTTTCAGGCGACAAGCTGGAGGGCTGGGCCAGCCACGCTGCAAACTCCACGGGCTGATGCGCACCCAGGGGAGCCTGAGCTGCCTAAGGAAGTAGCGACCCCTCATGCAGGGCAGGGGTGCCATCAGCAAGCGGAGAGCCTTCTCATTTGTGCACCAATGAGCTGGGGAGAGCCTGGTGGTGTATGTGGCAAGAAACTCGCTGCTGGGAGCGTCAGGCGGCTGCTGCTGAGCCGCGGGGGAGCCCGACAAAGGCGCGGCCAGCAGAGGGAAGAGCCTGAGACGTGGACATTCTGTTCAAGACTTCATGTGGCCCTGGCCGGTGTGGCTTAGTGGATAGAGCGTCGGCCCATGGACAGAAGGATCCCGGGTTCAAGCCCCGTCAAGGGCACGCGCCTGGGTTGCAGGGTCCCTGGCCCTGGTTGGGGTGCGTGCGGGAGGCAGCCAATTGATGTCTCTCTTTCACATTCTCTCTCTCTCTCTCTCTCTCTCTCCCTCCCTCCCTCCTTCTTTCTCTCCCCCCTCTACTCTCTCTAAAAGTCACTGGGAAAAGTACCCTGGGGTGAGGATTAACAGGAAAAACTGGTTTCTAGGAGATGACAGCAAGCATGCCACTGGCAGACCCAGATGCAGGACGGGCTCTGAGCAGGTCGCCCCGTGGCCGAGCATAAAGGCGCTCCCTCCGGGCCAGTGAGAGGGACCAGGGGCCTATACCCATGCCTTCGAGTGTGCATTTCCTCCACCTCGAAGGCCTTCCTGTCCTCTCTGGAAGGTTCCTGTCCGCCCTCGAGGCTGGCCTGCCTCACCCGCCTATGAGCCGGGCGTCCTCCTTGGCAACTGGAAAGCAGTCGAACGTGATCTCTGCCGCGTGTCTTTCCCTGAGAGCGCCTCAAGGTATTTGCCTTATGAGAGACTGTTGTCTTTCCTCAGAACAAAACGCAGCTATAAACTATAAACGCAGCTATTCCGAGCGGGAAGGCCACTAGCGAGGCGTGCGCGCAACCTCAGCCGACCCTCGCTGGCCCGCAGCGCCCTGGGCTCCAGCACCAAGTCCTGGGACGGACCCCAAGGCCATGATCCAGGGACCGAAACTGAGTACCAGCCCGTCACCCCCTCCGGGTCCAGCAAACGTTTGGTAATTAAGCAAAACGATTTGTCTCTGCCCAGATACTGGGCAAGCCCATGGGACTTTCCAGAAATTTCAGAGCCACCTTCCCTGCCAGCTCTTTTTTAAAAATATACTTTTATTGGTTTCAGAGAGGAAGGGAGAGGGAGAGAGAGATACAATAATGAGAAGGAATCATGGATCAGCTGCCTCCTGCACGCCCCACACTGGGGATTGAGCCTGCAAGCCAGGCATGTGCCCTGACTCAGAATCGCAGGGGTGGGCAAACTTTTTGACTTGAGGGCCACAATGGGTTCTTAAACTGGACCGGAGGGCCGGAACAAAAGCATGGATGGAGTGTTTGTGTGAACTAATATAAATTCAAAGTAAACATCATTACATAAAAGGGTACGGTCTTTTTTTTTTTTTAGTTTTATTCATTTCAAAGGGGCCGGATCCGGCCCGCGGGCCGTAGTTTGCCCACGGCTGCTCTAGCCACTGATCCAAACCAGCCAGGGCCTGCCAGCTCTTTATGCCAGTCATCACAACGCAGAAAATCATAAAAAATACCCTGTCCACAGTTGGTGAGATGAAAACTTTAGATACTCCGTGTGGCAATCTCACACCTTCAAAAGCTATCCTAGGCCGGCTGGTGTGGCTCAGTGGTTGAGCATCCACCTATGAACCAGGAGGTTCAATTCCGGGTCAGGGCACATGCCTGGGTTGTGGGCTCGATCCCCAATCCACTTAGAAGTGGAGACGGAAATGTGTGATTGGGAAGAGACCGCTAAATATCTACAAAAAGCGAGCTGCAGGCAGCGGGATCCGTGTAACAGCCCAAGGCCGCAGGCAGGCCTGCCGGTGGGAATTTCTCTCCCTCAGACCAAAGGAAAACAGACGCAGATGCGGGGAAACGGGGATTAAGCGGGGCTCAAGCGCAGGGCCAGTCCGGGTTATCTCTAATCTCTCAGCCTGTCCTGGTTTTTGTAGAAATGCAGTTTTAGTAAACAGAAGTTGTAAATCTAACATGCCTGCTTTTGCTACATTCCAGAAACGGCTCTGACCTCCTCGGCCGGCCTGGGTCTGGGGGACGGTCTGGATTACCTGGTGGTTAGCATTGCAAGCATTTTTTCGCAAAAGGAATGCGCCCACATTACCAGCACCCAGATCAAAGGCCAGGAGGCGGCCAGCCCCCACAGGCTCTTTCTGGCTCCTTCCTGGCCCTACCCCACCCGTACACGTAGCCACTCTCCTGACCTCAGTTTGCCTGGTTTTGAACTTTATAGAAATGGGGTGTTACGCTCCCCAGTTCTTTTGTTCTACATTATGTTGTAGCATCCAGCCAAGTTGTTGAGTGTAGTTCTCATCTATTCATTCTCTCTGCTCCTCTAACCGCAAACTGTTTCTCTTAAAGGGCCAGGTAACAAATATTGGAAGATTTGTGGGCCATGGGGCTTCCGTCGGGAGGACCCAACTCTGCCATTGTCGCATAGAAGCAGCCAGAGACAATACACAAATCAGTGACTGGGCCTGTGTGTCACTCGCGCTTGATGTACGGACACTGACATCTGAATTTCATATCCCCTTCATTTGTCACAAAACTTCCTCCTTTCAGTTGTGTTGCAGTCATTAAGAAATGTGAAAACCTGATGTTTCTCTCTTCCTCTCCCTTCCTCTCTGAAATCAATAAAAACATATTTTTAAAAAATAAAAATAAAAAATAAAAAAAAAAGAAATGTGAAAACTGCCCTGGCCAGGGTGACTCAGTTGGTTGTGCCTCGGCCCATGCACTGAAAGGTCACCAGCTCGATTCCCGGTCAGGGCACATGCCCGGGTGCCGGCTCCACCCCCAGTGGGGGGCGTGCGGGAGGCAGCTGATCCATGTTGCCATCTCACACCAATGCAGGGAGGACAGGGCCGGGGAACAGAGAGGACGGGGCCAGGGAACATCAAGCTCAGAGCCAGCCCTGGGCTAGATGGCAGCTAAAACTAATACCCCCAAAGCTTCATTTCTCCCAGACTTGCCAGAAGCTCCAACAACAAATACAAGCCGCCTTTACAGAGCCCCCTTTCTTGCCACCTGCGTGGCTCA